TAGGTAACATTCGTATTGAATTGGTCTTTACAACGGTAACTACCAATTTCAAATCAATTCAAATTGCCCCTGCTGTGATGTACCGACCGTTGAGCGAAATGTAACGGAAATATTTCAATCCTTACTTATAAGGCTTATCGTACATGACATACGTACAGATTACTTGTAAACCAAAATATATTAGCAGGAAGTCTCGATCGAAGCATATTTATATCAAACTATTTATTTATTTTTATTTATTTTTATTTATTTATTTTTTTAGATATATTTCACAAAGTATTTTGTAATAAATCACGGTGATATAATTTTTTCCTGATATTGGTATAAAAGTGTTCCTTGAACATTCACGAACTCATATCTATGTGCAATGTCATAATCAAATGCCATATGCATGATTGCAGCAAGCAGAAGTCCATATAGGTGTACCTGGGCGCTCATTAGTGACGTACCATAGCAGGCGCTTAATATTCGTTTGGTAGTTTACTCATCCATGTACCTATACTATACGCTAGCTAACTCAATTTGACCCCCTGTCCCCCCCCTCATCTGGAAGGGTCCCCTTAAGTTTGCTGCTTTTGGTAAATGAGACTCACAAATTGGATTTTTTGGCATAGAATTATTCCTAACACCTCAAATAAATATCAGTGACTAAAGAAATTGTCTAAATAATGGAAACTTTAATTAAAGGAATGTGAAATATTAAACAAATACATTTTATCTTTCAGTTACCTCTGTTTTGATTTGATTAATCTTTCTTTCAGTGATGAAGCGGATTACCCAGGATATCCCATGAGCAAAGCAGTGCAGGCAGTTACTGGAAATGAGCTAAGTTATGAAGCACGTGAGGTTGCATGCCACGCCATTGAAATGTATGCAGAACGCCTATATTTAGGAGCTGATAATCTGAAGGTAATTGGTTTTACATTTCTTTCCACTTTTTTCTCTTTTTTTTTTTCTTTCTTTCTTTCTTTTTCCATTGTCTCTGTCTTATTATTAATATTCAAGTAAAATAGTGATGAAGACAGATGACTGTTATTAACTGCTTAAATTCAATTTATAGCCTATAAGGTATATTCAAAAATAAGTTACCTAATTGCATAATCCACTATTTTTAGGCATACCCTGAAATTTAGGCCCTCTGGCATTTTAGCCACAAGGGCTTTGCCACGAAGGCATCAGTTAGTAGACCTCATGACCTCACCAGATTTCACCTTTCTTTACTATTATTATTATTATTATTATTATTATTATTATTATTATTATTATTATTATTGTTGTTAAGATGCTATCACAGCTGTTATTATACATTATGTGTATTATAATGTTATTGACATTACTAATAGCTACATAAGATAAAAGTAAAGATTTCCAAAATTCAAGGAAAATAAGTAAGCAGTTTAGATATGTCAAACTAGTAATTGATTCATTGGTTATTAATTACTTATGAAGTCATCTATGTATAAAGACCATCAATAAGCTAATTTCACAATGTACTTCCATCCATCTTCTACAGTATTAAGATAAAAGTATGTATTTTATGAAAGATTGCAAAACATTTGAAACTGAAAAAGAAATAGATATTCTGTGCAGTTCAAAATAATGTTTATTTTTCAGGTACACTGCTACAGAGCTGCACTAGAGGAGATTATCGTAAAATATTGGCCAGAATTAAGTCATGCGGGTTTGGCGATCAGTAAACCATGCACATGAAATGGAATTTCCTGTGTGAGTAATACATAATACCAAATCTATTTTTTGAATTGATTTTTTTTCTTCTTATTTAAGCTGTAAGAATCTCTATTACCTGGCATGGAAAGGAGAATGAAAGAACTCATGTTGGTAGTCTTCAAAATCTAGAATCTCAAAGAAATGATCATTGAGAAGGATAGAGCGAATAGATGATGGATACGGATATTGATACCAAATGTATGTAAAATTTTTCTTTAATATTTGATGTAAAGGGAATATAAGAAATTGATAGGATATGTCAAGAAATTTTAGTTTAGAAGTGAATGAAAGTGCTATTAGAAATTATCTATTAGCCTAGTGACCCAGGTAAAAAAGTTTGGCAAGTGGACATGACCACGGGGTTTTTGGCATGTATTGACAGTTTCCCCATTTGCCCCAGTCTTTTAGGAGTTTTGAAGCTTTTATTTTGCTATAATTTTTAATAATATAAAAAAATTGAAGGTTTATCTTCACTTCAGGTGTTATTGCATTTTAGCTTTACCATAGAAATGAAGCCACTAAAATTAGAGAAAAACAAACTCTGTCCAGTGAGCCAATGATGGGGAATGGTCGTGATATGATGTCACCGCTATTCTGTCCACAACAGCCATGGCATGTATGTACATACCAACTGGTGGCAAGGGGTTAAGAAGGCCTTATTCCTGATGTTTTAGAGTAATGATTATTAAATTGAAATGAATATTAAAGAAGCAGTCTTTGATTTCTAGCTAGCTTCTTCCATCAAAAATATTTACTCTGATTGAGTACAATT